CCTAAGCCTAAGCCTAAGCCTAAGCCTAAGCCTAAGCCTAAGCCTAAGCCTAAGCCTAAGCCTAAGCCTAAGCCTAAGCCTAAGCCTAAGCCTTACAAGTACATCCATTCTGCGATTGTTTGCAATCCATTAAAGAATTTTTGTTACTTATGACTGGTTCTGGCCTGGGCTGGTCTAGCCTAGTTTACAGCCCCTGGACCCCGGTTGGAACAATTCGGTTGGATATTATCAATATTTTTCCCTTTTCTCAGACATATTTTTTAAATAAGGCGTCTTTAAAAGGCACTTGAAAAGATCTAATTGAAAGGAAATTGGCAACCCATAGAATAACCTGGGGACACAATTTAAACGCCTTTAATTTTTGAATTAAGGGTCTGTGGGAAACTATATAAAAGGCTTTGGTATTGGGAAAGATATTGATAATAGCAAAGACAAGATAAATAGTTTCTAGTTGTATTTTTCTTTTGTGTTTATTGCATTGACAAGCTCTTCTGTATACTAAAATGCGCTGGCTAACCGTGGAACGATTTTTTAGAAAGCCGAATTGCTGCGAGGAAGATAGCTTATGCTGTTCGAAATGCGCAATGATTTTGTCTCGAAGAATCATTTCAAATAATTTAGAAACTGGAGAGGTGAGATTGATCGGTCCATAGTTGCTAAAACAGTTTCGCGGGGAATTGAAGATTTCCCCTACTTTCCCCCTACACCAACCATGAGCGAAATGACAATCATTTACAATTTTAATGCCAAAAAGATACATTAGAACGAAAAGAGTACAATGCGAAAAACGCATTTTTGTTAACAGAATCTTTACGAATGATGGTCGGCAGACGTCTAGTTCAGTTTTTGGAGCCAATTGTCGAGTGTTCCTCAAAAATAGAAAATAAGAATAAAATAGATAAAAAAGCCGCCAAAAAGGATTGCCTCTATTTGTGAAATGTTAATACCGCATTATTTAATTGAGCCCCCAGGGTTATAACTTTTTTTTAGAACATTTTATTTTACTTTTTGGAAGTTCAAGCAAGAGAGCTCAATTGTTGACCATGAATGGTCTTCCATGTAATCGAGTAATTCCAGAAATACAAAGAGTACAAGTGTTTTTCTTCTCCATATGTTTTTTCCCGGAAAGGATTATCTCCTCATTTCAAGGAGCTTTCCGTCCAAGTGAGCACGTAAGTTACCAATCAAGCGAATACTAATCGACGAGTAATAGGCGGCTCTTTCCTCATTTTCCTTCGTGATTGGACATACAGACCAAAGTTTGCTGCAGAACCCGAAAAAAATAATCGGCTTTCCCCTTCCAGGTGATAGATTAGGCCTCCTTGACGAGCGGCTTGTGATCCTCACTAAAAATTGCAAGTTAAAGGTTGCATGTTCTTATTGGTCAAGGCAGAAGAACTCTTGAAAGCACACAGAGCTTTTTTAGGGTGAGTAGTCCATTTCTTCAAAGTCTATTCACACTTCCCAATCGAGTTCCCACAAAACTAGAAAACTCAGTGTTCATTCCGAGGGAAAGAATGTTTTCTTGGAAATTTGCTCCTTCACGAAATCCAAAGAAACTTTGATCTGTTTTCGCTTACCGCAAAGATGCTCAAAATTCTAAATCATTGACTAAACACTTTTTCTTTTTTCGTTAAGCATTTCATTTCTATTTATCGTTTATCAATATTCCAATTTTCAGAAAAACTTTCTGATAATCAAAGTAAAACTCGTAGGCATTCTTGGCATTTTCCACTCTAATAATCAAAGTGTTTTTTTATGGATCTTATCGAGGGTCTCTAGTAGATTCAGGCAATTCCAGTTATCTCTGAACTTTGCCCCCCCAATATATATGGACGAGACCGAATGTACTCAAATGGGAGATCTTTTCACCAGCTACGCCCCATTTCATATTGTTCTCCTCGTGCAAGTGATCCTGTGTCTCACCGGTGGTCTCCTCTGTATTCCGGTGATCTCTAAGGTGAATAGATCCTATTTTCATCCAAACTCAAATTGATTTGCTAATTTCAAGGCCCTTGTGTTTGTCTCTTTTTTCCTTCGTTTGGTATTTACTGCATTCGATCAGTCAAGGCTTCACCATGGTTGCCAAATAAATCATTCAGTTGACTCCAATCTAACTGATTAGGGCTATCACCTGTACTCGTATCTCTTCAAAACGGGTTGTCAAGTCCTCGTGTCGAATTTATTTTGCGACATTGCCCGAGGTCCGTCTACGATGTCCATCATCATCGTCTCGGCTCTTCATTTATTTCTTTGTGTCGAGCGGATTGCTGCTCGATGCTATGGAATCGAATACGACAAAAAACGAGCGAGACTCGGTCCATTGTTGATTGGGATTTCAGTAATTTCTCAGCCAGAAATTCGAGAAGAATTCCCTTTAGACCATGTACACCTTTCTCGTCTATGGTTGGATATTATCACCTGAGAACTTTTCCTATCAGGTCCCATTCTGCACACCCGGCAATAAGTATACGGGCGATCGATCAAGCTTTGTCTTCAAATTCTCCCCGATTCTCGATGTGGCCAGCCTGGTGAATCATGATATTTCTGACGTTTTCTAAGAAGAAAAGCATACGGTAAACCGTAAATTTGAAATCGTAAAAAGTTTCACCTAGGTGTTTAGGCCTTTTGATTTGAATGTGAATTTTTCACTATCAGAAAACAACAGTGCTTGCTTAATGCTATGGCCATTTTCAGGTAAGCATTCAGAGCCTAAAATTATGAAAGAGCTGGTTAGATCTTTCATAATTAACGTTATTGTCGTTAAAATAACAGTTCCCTAAAGCTGATCCTAAAACAATTATGTACTAGTGATCCTCAAATGCAATTGATCTTAACATTTTCAGTTTTACATTTGATCGCTCAAATTCCCTTTCTTCTTATGGCGGCCTATTTGTCGTCGCTCATCCCTAGCGATTCGTTGATGCTGAAGCGGATGGTTCTACAGATTTGCTATGTAAGTGGCTGGTCATCGAGCTATACTACTAATCATTTTATAGATCTATCCACTTTATATCATAACTGGCTGCCTCGTTCTCTTGTACATCATGAGAAAGATTCGGGAGCAACGAAGAAATGTGAGTCTTGAAAGCTATAACAATAAAAATGTATGTTTTTGAAAGCTGTCAACATTTATTTGTTTTCTTAGCTATTATTTAATTGTCCTTCGCTCCGTGCCAATTCAATATGAAATTTCGAGTTTCAGAAAATTCGCAATATTCTGCGAGATGGAAATGATGAGCGACTGATTCACGAAATTTACTCAAAAGGTTGGTGATATAACGATTTGTGGCTTTATTTGGGGGCATAAAGTGTCATAATCTTTACATCATCTTTACAAAGGACTCAATCACAAAGACGAAATCCAAAGATTTACATTGGCATTTCAGCAGATTTTGCAAGAGAAACAGAACATTTTCCATGAATTTAGCCTATTCCGTTGATCTTTATTATACAAGCAAAAATTAGATTCAATTCTCTTTTTCACAAGAGCACACAAACTCGATGTACACAGGATCGCTGCCAACTTTTTCCTGTTTGCACCCGGCTTTCGCCTCGTTGTCACTACATGGACCGCCTGAAAGTTATCAATTTGTTTTCCCTTAGATTTTGACCTAAGGAAACAAAGAGTATGGGAAATTCATGTGTTAATGTGAAGCTCTTTCATTAGATTTCTTGGGCTAAAAACTCGGCTAGGTATGTATATTAAAGTGAAACGCACTATGTGCTGACGGAAAATGCACTTCTTCAGAGTCAGCCTCACGGATCGGGCGCCTAAGCCTAAAATCAGCTAGATAGGTCCCGATGTTTCGAAGATCTAAATGGAAAAAACTATGATAAACATGTATAAGTGGATTTTTCTTCGATTCGAACAGAGATTTTCGAACACTAAAAAAACTTCGAACCTCATGGCCGAAATCACCGAAAGCACGAGGCAAACGAGGAGAATCGAACGGAGAAATTGCATTCGACTTCACTGAAATAAAGACTTTTGTTGTATCAACAGAAAAAAGCTCTTTACGAGGTTCACTTTTTGGGAAAATGATTAATAATAAAGAGTGAAATGGGATTTGATGGAAATTATTTGCCAGATCATTTTTTTGGTTTAAGAGAACTTCTCTACATATTTTTCATTTTATCTCGGTTTGTCGATCTGATATGGATAGAGAGCGGATATCTTCTATTTTTTTCTCAATTGTGAAATCGTTTCTTTTTCTTCAACGTACATGCCAACACAATAACAAGCATCTTTTCTGTAAATGGGTGGAAGGGGGTTTTTTGAGGGATCTCTGTGCTTTGGGTGACGATGCAATCGAGAGCAATGGAGATCAGAAACCAGGAAACTTTATTTTTTGTTTTCTTTCCCGATAAGATAACAGAATCCAGCTTCCAGGATCATTGTAAATGCAAAATGAGAAAATAAAACGATGGAAAATAACACACCATCATTGTCTCCCAATTTTTTCGATTTTTTATCGTAGATTTCTTTTATCCGGATTCACAGCTCTCCAAAAATAATATGGTTTGTTTTGTGCAAGCCTTGCCAATAAACTAAAATTTAGCTTGCATTTAACAACCCTATTGACACTTCACGATTGTAAATCATAAAAGAGGAGATCGGATAAAGAAAAACCTTATTTTCATAAAATTCGCCGTTAACGATGACAGGTTGTGATCGAAACTGACAACCAAAAAAGTGACTTTTCTCTCTTTTCTATTGACTTTATCTTGTTCTATTACATAAGTTGATATTTTGACAAAAATTTGATAAAATATCGAACACCAATTTATCAAAAATAACACAGCATTGAATAAGAGAGTTTTATTTTCAGATTAATCTGTTCGAAAAATATTTTTCCTGATGACTTGCAGAGATGTTGACCATCAATATTTACTCATGGAAATCCTCAATGCATTTCTTTCGTTCCTGTGATAAAGAAAAATTACCCCTATTTTTGCTATTGTAACTGACCGGGTCAGCATGAACTTCTTGTGTAATCAGCTTGTAGACACCGAGCAACACCTCGCCGGCGTTCTCCATATGGCAAAGGGTTTTGAGGTGATTTATGGTACATCTTGTGATTTCCCCGAATTTCCTAGAGTTTTATTATTTACATGTTCAAGTTTTTGAAAAAATAGTTCAGATTCGACCAAGAGTGTATGGCGAATTTTGATTTTTTCGAGAAAACTCTTTCTGCTACCGAAGCTGCTGAATTGCATAACGTTTAATTTCAATAATCCCAATCATGGCTTAACTTCCATTTGTGATTTGATCGATTAAAAACAAGTCATGTTTTTCTATTTCTTTTTAGCCATAAGGGAAAATCCTTACTCGCAACTGGCGCTCTTTTCCAATTTCCCGCAATCATCCTCGATCTGTTTTTCCACTTCGTCAGTTCGACACGCATTCAGCGATTTGACTTAAAGATTTAAAGATTTTATTTTTTGAGTGTATGCTTAGTGGCTATTTCAAGTTTTTAAGAAGCTTATAGAAAGGGAATTATAATTTTTATTATAATTTCTTCTATTATAATTTGTATTGTATGATATGACTCACGATCATCTCTCAAATCCAATCCAACGGGTGCAGAGAAGATAACTATAATAGGAAACTTTTTTGTCTTTTTGTAAAAGTGGAAATTACCGTAAGTTCCAATTGTCGCCGAAAACAGCAGGAATTTACTTGTTGACAACATTTTCGATTGGAGAAAAAGTGAAAAGAAGGTCGCACAACTGGAACAAAATTTTCTTCCTTTTATTAGGGGATTTTTGTCGTTTGCCACAAAAAAGACCATGGTTGTGTTCAAGAAGCGAAGAAAACTTTTTCAGGACCTTTTGCAGGCAAAACAAACTTGTAGTGGAGAAATGGCAATTTCATTGTTAAAGAATGATTATGAGCTGAGATGAGATTTGAGAAAACAACGAAAAACTTGACTAAACTGTGTTTTCAAAAAAGTGAAGGAATTTATGTACATTTATCCATTTTACACCGAGAGTCCGCTCGTCTTTTTCAACTAATTTTCCTCTTGTTCTTAATGATCAGAATGACGACATTATAGACAAATAATTTCAAAACAAAATTAACTAAAAGCTAGCAATAGATCCTTCAAATGAAACCTTCAAGCCTCCAAATTTCAGGGATGACATCAGCGGCTTGTTCAGGGAATGATTGGGATTACCACAAAGGGCTGAAAAGTTGTCTCAAAGTTTGTAGCTCTTTGGTCAATAGACAGAAAATTATGATTCTGATAAACGGAAACAGCTACAGCGATTGTATTGCCAATTGTAAGACGGACGGCGGAGAGGCGATCAAGATAAACAACATGTCGAAGAGAACGACATTTATTACAATATGTCAATTTAATATCTCACAGCAGCTCTGTTTTCGGACAAAATCTTGAGTCCAAATAGTTTCATTTTTAACGACTCTTTTTCGGAATACGCTCAAGGGAAGGGTGTCATTGAGGCGGATTATTGTTGGATTGGACTAGAATTTGTATGTATAGACACTTCCAAACAAAACTTTCAGTCTTTTCTCAGAATAAAGAAGAGTTCCAATGGTAATGGTCAAGTGGAGGGCCGAGTTCACCCATTAGGCTGATGATGCTCCTAATAATTGGAATCACAACAATCAGTCATGTGCCGCTGTACGTGACATTTTGAATTTTCCATTTCCAAAAGGAGAGGGGATAGTTAACACAGATTTCTAGGAAACACAGTCTTTCCTTTTCTATTTTTCTGTTATATTTCTCGCAATCGTCGGCGCCTCGATGGAATGATCTGAGCTGTGAACGAGATTCGCATCTCATTTGCAGAAAGGATGGTGCTTGAGAGTAGAGAAGTCTCTTTTTGTAGAAATCGATAATAAAAATAAATATTTTCCTTTTGAAAAAAGCACTATTTGCAAAGACTTTATATTTGAAAGAAGAAACTCTCCGTTGAGTGCAGAAATATGGGCTTCGGCTCCATGCTCTCCAAACATGGCTTTGCATATTTAAATGCTATATTTGGAAGAAGTTTGCCACAAAAAGACCAAGGTTGTGTGCAAGAAGCGAAAGGAAGAGATATAATGAAATTCCTTCTTCTACCAATCACAAAAAGCTATGAACAAAAATTCGATAAAAACTTTTGCACACAATCTCGATTTCTCCAGTTGAGGTAGAAGACTTGGTGGTGGATGTAGGGCATTTCGATGTCGAGGGGAAGAAATGAGGAGCTCAGGGAGGCGAGCATCTGGGAAAGTGGTTTTTAGTTAAAATCTTAGAATTTTTCCTAAAAAGTGAATAAAACTTTTCACTGAGCTCACAATTTTATCGAAATATTTGTCATCAACACCATAGTTCTTGAGTGGACCGTGAAGCTCAACGTTTATCTGGAAACCAGCTGTCATTTAACTCAAAAAGGTCAAAAAAGGTTCACCTTTTTAAGTTTCTTTTTTACAGAGAAACAGAAAATTCCAAGAAGTTCAAGTTCGTTGTCCTCAAAAAAACCTTCAAAAAAAGCGCACCTGACAAACCGTGTACTCATTTCTCATCTCGGACTCAAAAATCTGAGGCAACGAAAAATATTCAGGGCCCTCGATGTCGATCAGAAGGAAATCGATGAACTTTCGGTTTATCTGAAAAGTTACGCGTAAAAAGATTTCGTGATCTTGAAAGCTGAACTTGATCCCTGCCGCATCAACAACTTCAGCTTTTAATTTTTCGCAACCGGGTAGTTTAACCAATCCCTATTTGGTATCCTTCGAAACACAAAACAAAAAACAGCTAGCAATGATCTCCAGTATCCAGAAAAGGTTATGAGCCTTCAAAACTCTTTCGAAAAGTTCGGAAAATGGTCAAGAGCCCACTTTTTTCAAGTAATTCCCGAAAGTGATCGAGGGGATCGTCTGCGTTTTGTAGGAGCCGTCCACGAGCACCGTTCCATTGATTTTTCCATCGTTTGCGATTCCGATCCAAAAAAAGCTTTCTTAGATTTTTTAGAAACTTCAAAAAGTTTTTTAAATGTTTAAGATTCACTAAAAAGTCAAATTCCTTACCAGATCCACCCGTCCGACCTCTCGGAACACACCGGCTGTCGCCTCAAAGGGATCCGCACCGAAAAGCTCGATGTTTTTGAAAATTTCCTGGAAATTTTGCCCAAATCTTTGAAGATTTACAAGAGAAATAGTTTTTGAGTTTGGGTTCATGAAATAATCAAGAATCATATTTGATTCTAATGGTTTCATAAAGTTTTCGAGTCGACAATGCCCAAAACAAGTCCTTGAAAGTATTCTGTTTTTATAAAACAAAGTCGTCAAAGTTTTAGCTCTTAAAATTCGACCTTGCATCCCAATTTTTAACTTTAGAAACATTTATGTTTTATCTTGTAAATATTTTGAAACCTTTAGCTGTTTTTCCACTTGATTATCATTACCGATCCCCAGCGAGATCGAGACGATTTTCTCGTCCATCGACACTGGGTAGATGAATTTTTTGACTTCATCCTAGAAAATGGACTTTGTAAAAGATAAATGCAAATCTGGGGACCTTGTTTCTCAAGAATTTCACATTCAACAATCGGGAAAGTAGCTTCATCCCGCATTTCATTTCCATCACTGGGGTAATATGCTTCCAAAGATCCTTGTTGGGCAACTAAAAACTTTTGTTTAAAAATAGGCAACGTTTATAGATAATGGGATAAAAATGTTTTTTTGCTTTCACTAGGAAAACATTAAAAGACTTTGCAGGTTTTTATGGAAAGTTTTCTTTCAAAAACGGCTTTGAAAGCAAGTTTTAAAGCACCTTTCTAAAGAAAAAATGTGGCTTAATTCAGTCTTGCCATTTTTTTTTGCCTTTTTAAGCAAAGGCCTACCATTTCTTCAAGGCATTTTTGGTACGTGTGAAAAACGTGATCGCGCATCCCACATTTTTGATTTTTTTCTGTGATGAAGCTTTGTGTGAAGGTCGTGAAATGTTGGCGAGACTGTAAACTTACAAACATTCAATGAATTTATTAGGTCTTTAGGTTTTAACAAGAATACTTCATTGGATTGTCAAATTTAAAAGTTCAAGCACTCACATTCATCAAAAGCACGATCACGATGATCACAAAAAGGCATTTGAAGAAGGAAATTTGCATTTTCTTCTCATCACTTCACTCTCCAACAAAGTGAAAAAAGTGAATATTTTGAGAAAATTGTAGATGGATTGTAGGTTGAGAAATAAGAAAATCAATAAATTGAGCCGTCAAGAACTTTTTAGAATCTAAACGAATTGCAGCTGCAAGAAGAAGCTTCTTGAAGCTAGAAGAAAGGCAAAAATCGATCTTTTGGTGGAAAGGGAGGAAAACTCTTGTTCCAGAATTTCACTGATAACACATAATATACACCCATTTTGGGACGTCACCGCGGGGGAAAAGCACGCAAAATTTGGGAAAATGATTTCATTTAAATGATCTAAATGTTCGAACAAGTAAAGCTTTTTGATCGAAACAGTTCTGCTGATTTTGCATTTTCGGTGAATAAACCATGAACAAAGGGGAATTTTCAAATTTTTTTCGTACATTTCTCAAATGTCTGGCAAATACGAAGAGGTCAAATTGGTGCTTTTGGGATTTCTGCTCGAGGTCTCCGGCATGATTGACACGATTGACACGATTGACACGATTGACACGATTTCTGCACGATCTCCGGCAGGCCACCAACACGTATTTCTGCATTCAGTCCGGTATTTTGGTGGGTTGAATGTGGGGAACACAACTTTTAGTTTATTTCTGGTTTATCTCAAAAAAAGGTTTATTTCTGGTTTTTGTACTTCGGGAAAATGGAAAGAAAAACTCGGCGATTAATTTTATAAGACTTTTTAACAATTTCCCGGAGACCTTAAGTGGCCTGAAACGTGATTGGAGTGATCTCGGTGGGGAGACAGCTTCGGTGAGTTTACTTCAGAATTAGAATTTGATTTGAAGTGCACATTGTGCAGAAAAAAAGGAAACACACCCTTTCTAGTGCACTAATTGGTCGTCCTGTGACACCAAATTGCCAAAAAACAACAAAATTTTCCGTCTTTATAGTATTTTGAAGCTGAGATTCTGATGGACACGAGTAAATCACTGGGATCAGAAATTTGCAGCCTTTTCAAGAAGCCTTGCACTGCATTCGAGGCAAACCGCCCATGAGACAAACACAGTTTCGCATGTTTTCGAATAACAAGTTTTTCGAGACTATTTTATGTTTTTATTTTGACGAGAGATTTTATTCTTTTAAAATAACAATTGAACTGTTACTTAAAACAAAAGTGTAAATTTAAAAAGGCTTTTTGAAGGATTTTTCAATTGAAAACAGGTTCAAATAGGTGGAGGCCATGACTGTTTGCCTCCAGCACACTACGTCTTTGGAGCCTTGCCTCTGATCACGATGGTTTGCGTGTAGAAATGGTCCCCAGGATTTCAGCTTCAAAATATCATACAGGGTGCTCAATAAAAAGACTCCTTTCCTTTCGAATTTCCAAAAAAGGTTAAGTGTTGGTCATGGCGTAAAAAGTGTTTTTTGGTCTGGCAAATTTTTCATGTTTTTTGAGCTTTTTCCGATTTCATGACCCCTATTCACCAAAAGAATGTCACCACCATCCCCACCACCACTACCACGCCACCATCTCCAAAATTCAGCTTTGTTTTGCTGTCCATTTCAAGTGCATTTTCGAAGACTCTGAGACTTTTTCGTAAATATTTTCTCTGGGCAATTTGACCTCTGTAATGCCTATAAAAGCTAGTTTTCTTCGTCAGTATAAACATCTCCTAGAACAAAACTTTCTATTCTTTTGCTACACAAAATGCACGAATGCATAAATTTATTCTCTTACTACTCAAAACAGGTTCCACACATCATCTAGCTTGCCTTTGTTGCCTCAGAAGGACCATGCTTCATTCTACGACAAGAGTTTGTTAGGACTCTTGCCTAGCGTTCCAAAGACCAAGAGTTTGATCTTAGTGGCGGAAAATTGGACTTAATTTTAATATTGAATTAAAGCTACAGAGCTCACATGACACGAAAATGCAAAAGCCTCATTTTTTCGAAAAATGCGAACACTTTAACCCGTACAATTCTCACCCCAATCCGTACAACTTTTGACCAAATAAATCTTTGGCAAAGAAAATCCTTTCTTTCTCGAAAAAACAATGAGATCAAATGCCGATGGAAAGAGATTTTTTGGATTTTTTTGTGGTGTGAAAACGAATGAAATAAATGACTTCCTCTTGGGTGAGAGAAAGGGAAAATGTTATCAAACTGTCAAGATTCGAGCCTAAAACATATGAAAAATGTGATCGAAATACAAATCAAATCCAAGACCGAATCAAATTTTTTTCTCTAGACATTGTTTTTCTTGAGATTTTCCCAGATACATCCAGGAAGTTGGCAAGAAAGTTTGATTGGCAAATGGATCAAAACGGCCCAAACTTGATTCCGAAATCATTTTTCAAAAATTCAATTTAAACTTTAAATTGAATTGTACTTTTCATTTAATCTCGCGGAAACAGCTTCTAGATCTTTTACGGTTTTCTGGTTTTTTGGGAAAAATGTCTTTTCGATTTGAATTTAATTGGTTTTGTTTTCTGGGGACTAATGCCAAAGTTTACAAACTTTACAGCACTTTTAAAAGCTGAAAACTTACAATCAGCGTACGGGAAGTATTGGTCCATGTAAAATAGTGACCTAAATTTAAATTTAACAGCCTTAAGTTCGAAAACTCTTTTTGCACTTCGTTGTGCAATCTGCATCAACGTTCTTTGATCTGCGTTGAGCTCACGGTTCCTCATTTTTTGTAAATAAATCCCAAATAAATGGTCAGCTTTGAGCACAAAAATGAGACATTTTTGACCGATTCACCGGGTGATTTAAAATGGATTTGAGGCTTGTCATGTGCCGATTGTAGAGTTGTAATTTTTGCTCACATTTGTCTGAAAAGAATACTTTGTCCAGAAAACTGTTTTTTTGCGTTGTTAAAAAAATAAATACACAACGTATCTAACTACTCAAACGGTTACTTTTAAAATTTGCCTTCGATCACGCAATTAGCTATTTTATAGTAATTTTTAAGCAGTTAAAGTAATTGGAACTCTTCTATTATATTCTATTTGAAAACCAACACATTTGGATCTTATTTGATCTTTCACTATTCTCAGGCTTATCCTGTGTCCTGATCTTGATCTTACAATTATAAAGGCGAAAGATTGGTCTATGGAAAAACGCTTGATGACCCACAGCTGACCCTAAATCCTCGAAAAAAGCCGGATTTTCTTCAAGTTTCTCCTCTTTCTTTTTCCCATTGCACTTCCGGCTTATCATTGGATTTTAAAGAAACTTTTTCTAACAAAATGTTTCAAATTTTGCCGCGTTCTGCACGTTTTGCCAGACTCTTCTACAAATCGATAAAGACTTTTCCCGGTCAAAAGCTATTTTGGAGATTTGCATTTAAAGCAGTGTCGTTTCTTCTCTTCCAAAGCCTCAAAGCTTTACCACCGTTCACGTGAAAAAGTGATTCAGCCTGATTTTTCACTTGAATTGTGGTGAAACCAAAGTTCAACTGTAAGGTTTTTTAATTCTTACATAGTCAAACAGGGTGAACGCACCTCTTTTGACACACTCCAATCCTCCAAGCCGGTCCAGTCGGTCCTGTTCGTTCAGGAATTTAAAAAAGTCGGCAGAGCCTGACCAAATTTGGCATACTGACATGGGTGTACTGTATGGTTTTGCTAGTACAATTTTTACACAGTCATTACCCATTTAACAAGTACGAATCACTTGTCCAAATCAATCCTTCCCCCCAAAATCCTATGTCCTCCGTGCCTCAAGCCGTGTTCCCCAAAAAAGCCACTCAATTTTGATCGGATTTCCATATTAAACGAGGAAAAATCTCTGAGAGACCCATTTTCCCATAAAAATGACCAGTTTTTTTGCAATTTTACGGGTTTTGGAAATCCCGGGAGCATTTGCCATGATAAAAGGTGAATCTGGAAGCAAAAATTTTTGAGAATTTTATTTTAACAATTAAAAATTTGAATTTTGCTCAAAATCTCTCATTTGATGACTCATTTCTGCCTCAAAACCCTCTTCAAAATTCAAACTTTTCTCACGAGATCACGAGCTTTCCCAGGGCCATTTCAGCCTCAATTTCTTCAAAAATTTCCAAAAACAAATATAGATATTTTGGTAAAGATATGTTTTGATGATGTGGAAGAAAAATATAGAAAGAAATGGGAATAGGGAACATCTCCCGAGAAGACACATCCGGGTTTTTTTTGACAGTGACAAAAAGGATGAGTCCCCCCATTCGCTTTTTGAGCTATTTCCCAAAAACATCATTTGGTTTATAAAAGAGTTTGGTTTTAAAATTCTAATTATTAGTAGAATACCTTTTCTTCACTTCCAAATATCTTAGTCTCAAAATTTCATAAAAATCCATCTACGGGAAGCTGAGCTGGGAAAAGTGAGCATTTTGTAAACGCACACTTTTTGGCATAGCGCCTATGAGTGTATTTTTCCTTAATTTATCAAAGTTACAATCATTTTCAGATTTTTGTCCATTTAGCATTAAAAATTATTCTCGATTCTCCATTTTACAAATTTACCCAACCTTTGGAAGACAGGAAAACGATAAAATCCTGTGGATTAGTGGGGAAAAACCGGGAAATCGGGATATTCTCTCGTTTTTTGTTCTTTGTTTTTATCCCTTCTGACTCATTGCTGAATTCTCGGGGCTGAAGAACAAAAAAGAACACGTGCGGGATCCGCAAATTGAGTTCCCTTTTTACTCGTTTTCTTCCCCGAAAAGCCGCCTTTTGTGAAGAAATGATCGTTGCCCGATCTTTTCCGGTTTGACTTATAGTTGGAATAGGTTTTTTTTCTCTGTTGTTTCTGAAATAGGAATATTTTTTCATAACATTTAACCAAAAGGCTCTTATCCCAAGAAATTTTTTGAACAATTGTCCCAGTTGCGCAACTGCAATTGCTCACAAAGATTTCATGCCAATTTGTTGAGGTAAAGATGTAAAAATACCATAAATAAACATGTTTTGGTATAATCTTGCAACTGATAAACATTCTTGATTTGTAGAACTTGACTGCAAACTTTATTTGCACC